CTTAGAAGACTAGTAATGGAACCCACCTTGTATAGAACTTCAAACCACTTCTTGATTCATTTTTGTGAAGACCTCACATGAGTGCTACCAAGCTCTCAACTTTTACTTGCAAGGGCTAAGGATCAACATGTGGAATGCTAAAAAATGAGTTCTCATAGGATCATAAGGTCTTAGGTAAACCTTTCCTAATATTCTTTTATGCTCTCTTTGATATCAATTGTGCACCATTTAAATGCTGATTTGGGGAGCCAAGGGTCTTGTTTGGGGCTTCATATGCGTTGAAATGTGCTGCATAATTGTTGTGTAGTGCTGTGAGATGCTATTTGGGGCTCCATAAATGCTGAAATACATTGTAGAAGTGTGGTAGGGCGCTGAAATGTGCTGTAGGAGTGTCATAGTGTGTTGGAATGCGCTGTAGAAGTGTCTTTGGGTGCTGGAAAGAGCTGTAGAAATGTTGTTAGGCTCTGAAATGTGCCATAAAATGCTGAAAAGTGTTGTCGGATCATGAAATGTGCTGTAGTAGGGCTGTTTGGGCTCATATAGGTGTTGTTCAGGTTATATGGGTGTTGTTTGGGCTCATATAGAGACATTTTGAGCTTAATTAAGTGATGTTTGGGCTCATATAGGCACATTTTGGGAACAATTAAGTGTTGTTTGGGACTCATTTTAGTGCTGTTTGGGGCTCATTGTAGTGCTGTTTGGAGTTCAATTAATTGTTGTTCGGTGCTCATTTTAGTGTTGTTCGGGGATCATTTTGGTGCTGTTTGGAGTTTAATTAATTATTACTCGGGGCTCATTTTAGTGTTGTTTGGAGCTTATTTTAATACTGTTCGGAGCTCATTTTAGTGCTGTTCGGGGCTCATTTTAGTGCTGTTTGGAGCTTAGTTTTAGTGTTGTATGGGCTCATTTTAGTGCAGTTTGGAGCTTAATTAAGCGCTGTCGGGAGCTTAATTTAGTGTTTTCTTAGGGCTTAATTTAACGCTGTTTGGAGACTGATTTAGTGTTGTTTGGGGGGTCCTTTCCCTATAGTTTTGAGTTTCTCTTGATTGTTATCTTATGAGGATTTAATCACCCTTTTGAGCTGACCCACTCGCCGTTCTATTGTCTCGTCGATTTTGGGAGTTGGGTCAGTCTCCTATCTTCTTACTCCCGTTTTATTTTCTTTTTTTTTAGGGTGATGATGATAATGTTTATGCGTGCTAATGTGAGATGATAGAATAGTCTCCTGTCTCGATGACCTTCGATGGGGGAGAGGATGATCGATGATACTATTTACCAACCCTTGGTGCGAAGTTGCCCCCTTGCCTTCTTAAGTTGCTGGTAATTCTGGCATGATCAAAGTGAGCAACTTGTGGATTATTTTACTTCTCTAAATATTTACATAGATATTACATTTTCCTAAAGATTTACACAGATATTACAAACAAATTCATTTACGATAACACTACTTTTGATTGCTAATTAAACTTGGTATGCATGAAAAATTAAAGAAACTTTGATAAAATCCTTTAAAAGTCCACTTGTTAATTGTTGCGATCATGGCCAGGAGTTACTCTCTTTCGATAGTTTGGGTTGGTACCTTCCATCTAAAGTTGAATTATAAAGCACACATCCTAGCTATGAGCCTACTCCGGAGCTGAATTCTTACGGTCCTCTTCGAGCTTTCATGTGTCGTCTATTCTTTTACTTACACATGTTTGTCATACTAGCTAATTTCTCTGTAATACTTATTTACTTTTACCTGTGGTACTGACACTTTTTGCAGCAGCAACAGACACGCCATATACGTAAATTTATTTTTTAAACAATTATTGTATTTTGCCGCAGTACCTTTTTTTTACCGCGCTCTTACTGATGTTTTACTTCTGCATTTACTTACACCATAGAATCTTTTAGAGTATAGCACAATAGGCTGGTTGTTTAGGAGGTACATTGTGATGGGCCATAGACCAAACAAATTTGTATGGTCACACATAAAACCCTAAAGCCGGATTCGCTACGTTACGAAGCTCAGAGAAGCTTGGTGGGCAGCACGACGAGGAGGCAAGCAAGTATAGAACAATTTCAAAGACCCAACATATGAACAGATCTACTCTAACTAAACTATTCCTTAGTTTTAAACAACAATTCATAGGACTTCGAGGTAGCTCGCTCAGCGTGACATAAATTCTCACACCCTCTTCAAGTTCCCGTGTAACCGTGTTTTGTAGTATAAGTCGTAACTAGTCTTAGGTTCTGAGATTATCGTTCGGTACGACTTAAACCCTCTTATCTCAATAGACTATTTGCATAATCGGGTATTATGCAAGCGAGAGTCCCAAATAATAAAATTGACATAATTGAACATTTAAATAATATTGTCTCCAAAACACAACCACACAGTAGGATAGTTTGGGAAGTCACTGAGGGTTCTCGGGATCTGTGACGTCTCCTACATCTTCCTTCCTTTAGATTCCTAAAATAACTGCTCCCATTGGATTCTTTCTTATTTGATTTTTCGCGTTCTACCGTGAAACCTAAAACTTGAATTCTTGAAGACTAGTACCTCTGATTATTATCCAGAGTTTTCTCAAGTGATCTCGGTCTATTGAGATGTGATTAACTATAGGGGCTTGCCCTATAGTGAACTTGGAACCTAGGTAAAATAAATCTCATTTTATCTTTATATTAGATATGAGAATTTGTCGATCACGCAAAATGTTCGCAGACTAAACGGATGTCACAAATCTTTTAATTTGTATGATTGGGTCAATTGTCGAGGGATGCACTTATCTTTCTGGAAAGTATATTATTCGCGGTATCGGCCACGATTATGTAAACTATTAGACAAATGAGATCCATTCGGTCTTATTTTCAAAATTAAACACACTATTTTCAAAAATAAAAAAAAATCATATACCTTTTATATTAGATTAAACTTAAAAATTATTTAAAAAAAACGACTGACAAATGGTAGCAACATTTATTTGATGCATAGAAACTAGAGGTGTACATAAGCCGAACACGGCGGGCTCAGTATCTGTTTGTGATCGGCTCGTTCGGAAATATTTGTGTTCCAATTTGACTCGTGTTTGATATTGTCTGTGAATGTTATGTTCTTTTTCGAATTATATTAATTAAAATAGACTCATTTTTATATTTAAGCTTGAATTAACTCGATTTAAAAAAAACTGCATTCGTCGAGAAGGCAGAATTTATCAAAAAATGCAGAATTTTTTTATTGCCATACAATAACAAATACAATCAAATATAACTCATAGCAGCAGCCAGTAGTTGAATTGCAAAAGTCTTAACTTGCTAGTTTAAAGCCACCCTCAAAGTTTATCCCTGTCAACACTAACCCTACAGCTCCAAACCAAATTCATACATTTACAATACCAAAATCGCATTCCGCTTGTACAATATGAGCATTAAGCAAGAGCAAATACAAGTAGAGAACCTGGACAAAGATAATGTAACGTATGATTTCCACTTTTCGAACCAGTCATATTTCAGAAATTATAGCGTAAGCCTTCTGAAACCAAGACTTCCTAAAAGAACAAAGAACTGCAACTCTATTTTTCCGCAAAATCATAACCAATTATCGGATCATGCTTTCTATATTGCACAAGCAAACTGCAGTAAACTTGAATCCTACTAGAGTGTAAAATAAAAATATCACATAATCCCTTAAAACGATGTCATGCGGCAACTGAGGATGCCTCTACCAATATAAGTATGGAGAACATGGCCATTTCCTCATATAGATTATCATAGATGTGTCTAAAACATGAAATAAAAAATAAATAAATAAATAAATAAACTAACCTAAACCAGAACTATGAAAAAAAAAAAAAACTAAAGCAATATCAAAACTCATAATATTGAAGTGCTCATCTCCAAGGCCAGAGTATAACACTACAAATGCCAGGTAAGGTTATATATGGTAAGTAATCCATCCCCTGCGCCTGCATTTTTTTAGCCCAACTAGAATATCTAAATATTATGACTTGTGGGCAATCTAGCCCTAAACCGTTAATGAAGTAATCACATTCGCATGATCGCATCCTAGCATCCAGCGGAGAAAAACATATCTACAAATAATAAAACGATAAACTATAGAGAGTGACTGAAGGAAATGAGAGACTAAAATTTAGTAGAGAAATCTCACAGAAGCGAGTCACCATTCACGAGTCACAAGCGAGAGAGATGAGCAATAGAGGCAAGGGATGGATGTTTGGCTCACTCACATGACGATGATAATGGGATGGAAGCAAAAACCTAACCCTAGCTGAAGCACAAAGACTATTGACCCAGACTCGAAATGAAAACCGAAAGGGTTGCGAGATCCAGATGCTGGGTAAGAATAGGACATTGGGGTTTTTTTTGTTCATATAATTATGAGGGTTTTAAGAGGTTTTAATCGTATTCATCCATTTAAGATCAGATGGTTGAGATGAAATTATTTTAAATGATAAAAGTGTAAAATTTTATTGAGTTTGAAATTTTTTCTAACTTCATAAATTTAAATTTATTTTTAATGTATATTGATAAATTTTATATATAACTATTTATAATTATTTAAGTTTTTTGCACAAAATCGAGCCAGCACAATCAAACACATTTCTATTTGGGTGTTTGACTTATTTATTAATCGAGCTCAAAAAATTTGTTCGTGTTTGACTCACTAACCTCACGAATGAATTAATCACGAGCTATTTAACAATCCGAATACGAGTTTTTCATGAATGGTTGAGCTTTTTTTCAAGCCCTAGTGGAAACTGCTCTTATTCTACTTCTATTATTCAGGTCTGGAATAGGAATGTGTAACAAGATTACAAAGCCATGCTTAATTAGATTATAGATTCCCAGCATATTGAAATTAATTTTTTCTCTCTTATTGCTGGTTTCCTTTTCATTTTCTTCCTCTGTAGAAAAAGATTCGCAGTCTGCTGTAATTGTGTAGTTCTTGTATCCAAAGGCTTGCGCTGATTTCATGCTCTTTGGCGTTTTATTGACAGGAAGAAGTGTTGGCATGTTTCTCTGATAATGAAGGAAGACCAGATATGAACAAGCTAATACCTCCTGTAGATCTCATTGAGATGTGCTTGAGAGGGAGAACTCAAAAGCTGGCTTTACTTGCATTTGAAATATTTGCTTGGATGGGCTCTTCATTTCGTAATTCAAATCGAAGCCTTCTCGATGAAAGTTGGCGAAATGCAGCTGATCAGGATGATTGGGTAGCTCTAGCCAATCAATCAACGACTGAAGGATGGAGCGATGAATTGGTCCTCAAGAATATTAGAGAAACCATTCTCTTCAAAGCTTCGTGCCGGTGTTATGGGCCAGAAGCTCAGGCATATGAAGGAGGTTTCGATGAGATCTTGCCGCTAAGAAAGGATGAAATAGACTTCACAAGTCCGAAGGAATCGGGTTCGTCGGTTGAAACCATCTTGATGCAGCACAAGAGTTTTCCAGATGCAGGCAAGTTGATGCTTACTGCAATAGTTTTGGGAAGGGAAAGCATTGGTATCATTCCAGAAGCTGACGAAGAGTTGGCAATGGAGTCATGATTAACATGAAGAATGAGTCTACTGGGTCATAAAGTTACACAAGCATTTTGATTTTCTGGTACAGGATAACCCAGCTCAAGATCAGCTCATAGATGTTTATGATTCAACCTGTATTAAGTTAAAAATAGTATAATTTTTTTTCTATCTTAAATTCTTTATCCAATATGAACTGGGTAGGTTTGGTTTGCTGACTTGAAGCTAATTTCAAATTAATTTTGAGGAAAAAAAAAAAAGGTTCAGATTATGATCGAACCCAGTTTAGAGTAATATCTAATTTTTCAAGATCAATGATTCATACTAATTGCTCCTTGTGAGTATATAAGCCACATTCATTCAATCATTTTTTCTTATTTTTATTTTATTGCTTGTAAGTAAGTAGAACCAATTTATTCAAGATCTAAATGATTTTGAGAGATTGGTCTTTGGATGATTAACCAGCCATTCTAAATGAATTGCATGATTGAGATTCAGTGCAGTACATATGAAAATCAGCTATATTTAAAAGAGATTTATTATACATCTTTGATATGACTCAAAAAATAAGGTCCTATTGAAGGTTAACCAGTTAATAAAAGGCATTATAATTAGTGGTCAAATTATCTTAGTAAAATGAAGTTTTATAAAAAATGCCATCACCCAAGTTAGCATAAACCTCAAATTTATTGACAGATCCAATTCAAACTTCAATCATCACTAATTTTAAGCGCAAAGGCGTTGATTGCACTCTTATCTAGGGCTGTAAATGAGCCGGGCTTGAGCAAGCTTCATGTTGAGCTCGTTCGAATGCACTCTTATTCTTGTTCGGCTTCAAAATTGGCTCTTTAAAATTAATTAAAAAAATAGATGTAAATATTGAATTCAAACCTAGATTAAGTTGATGCAAAAGAAGGCATATAACTATAGTATCACACGAGCTTTTATGATTTAAATTTAGATATAAATATATATAATATATGATTATATAAATAATACATACAATATATTATTATACAAAAATTATATTATGTTTTTGTTTCGAGCTAAAACGAGCCGAATACGAGCGAATAAAGAGTCATTTGTATTCGACTCGTTTATAATTCGAGCTTAAACAAAATTGTTCGTGTTCAGGCTACTTAACGAGCCGTACATTCGCGAACAATGAGCTTTTATGACAACCCTACTATTAGAGTTAAAGCCATGATAACTCAACACAAATCTAAAAGATGACATGGCTTGGCCCACTGTTTTAATAACCAAATTGGCCTAAATATCCTCAATTAAGACGTTTTTGGTCCATCACAAATCTTAAAGGCAATATGACTCATTTATCCACCATAAGCATCAACAAAGGAAACTCACCTTCTCATAAATCTAAAAATGTAGCATTTGAAAAGCAAGTACAAATGGATTCCGAATCCAAAGAGGGCCTGGGTTTATCACACTACGTTCATTCTCCAATCAAGAGAAAATATACAATACAAACATATCAAACAGATAAAAACTCGCAGCTATTCCTAACATTCCAGATCTAAACAGCAGGATTAGAGCTTGGAAGGGCACCAGCTTCTCTGAGAAGGGCTATCAAAGAACCATCCTTGTGCTTCTTCATCAGATCTAGCATGCAGTTCATCATTCATCATGAAGAAGAAAGTTAATCATTTAACATTGCTGATTATTGCATATTCTAGAGAGAGAGAGAGAGTACCAGCTTTTCCACCAATATGATTTCCACCAATGAAGATATTGGGAACTGTCCTTTGTCCAGTCCATTCTGCAAGCGCAGATTGTAACGCAGCACCGTCGCCTTCATTCAACAGCAAGACATGAGCTGGAATTAACAATGCCTTCCATCCAGAGAATGCCATAAATTGGAAAACATCATTGAAGCTATAAAAACTCTTGCGCTGAAATAATGAGGTCAACCTAGACCAAACTAGAAAATGGAAAAACCAAGAGGAAGAACACTAAGGGCTTGTCTAAGACCATTTTTTTTTTATAAACCTATTTGTTTAGTGTGTTATATATATATATATATATATATATATATTTTTTTTTTTCTTTCTAAAAATAAATCAACGCTTCTGGAAATATTCCAAACAACTTTTATGTATTTTGAATTTTTATTAAAGCGGACATACTTTAATCAAATAGCAAAATATGTTTTGTTTTAAGTTAAAACATAAATAAAACAAAATAAAAAAAAATAATAAAAAAATGGTGATTTTTTGTATGTTTTTAAATAAATCATAGTTTTTATTTTTGATTTTTTACTTTGATTTTAAAAATATATTTATTTGGTGTATTTTTTTATATGTTTTTAATTATTGTTTCTAAAAATAAATTAGCATGTTTTTAAAGTATTTAAAATATTTAAAAACTAAATATACTATAATATGCCAAACATATTTTATTTCAAGCCAAAATACAAAAACAATAACAGCAACAACAAGACTTCAACCCACTAAGTGGGGTCGGCTACATGAGTATTTTTCTCCATTGTGTCCCATTGACTGTCATATTTTAATTTAGTTTTAATAAAATTAGATCATTTTTTATAAAACATGCCCAAGTCTTTTTAGGTCTGCCTGTATCTTTTTTAACATAAATCGAATCTAAAGCATCTACTCTTCTAAGGGGAACATCAAGTAGTTGACGTTTAATGTGACCAAACCATCTAAGACGACTCTCTAATCCACTGGAGCCACACCAACCCTTTTATGGATACATTCGTTTCACATTTAGTCTCTAAGTGTCAGGCTACTCATCCATCAAAGAATTCTCAAATCAACAAAATTTAACTTGGTTTGTGCTTCTCTTTTAAAGGCCAACATTCTGCGCCATAAAGCATTGCAGGTCTCACCACGATCTTATAAAATTTTCCTTTTAAGTCTAAACAGTATTTTTCTATCACACAATAGACCCGGTGCATTCCTCCAATTCAATCATCACTCCACCTCAACCATCCAACTTGAATTCTACTAATAACATCCCATCTAAAACGTTCACACTTTTTAATGATTTGATCACCCATTATTATAATTCTACCACTAGATCTACTACTACTAAAACTACATTCGATGTATTCAGTTTTAGATGTACTAAAACATTGGCCTTTAGACTCTAATGCAGACCTCCATAATTCATATTTTTCTTGAACTCTATCTCTAGTCTTATCCACAAGAAAGATATCATCAGTGAGAAGCATACACCAAGGTACATCCTCCTATAAAATGTCTAGTAAGAACAATCCAAAACAAAAACAAAAAGAAATGAGCTTAAAATTGATCCCTGATGTAATCCAATTGAAATAGGAAAATAATTGGTATAACTCTAGTATACATATCTTTAATGACTTGAATATAAGCCACATCAACACCTTTCTTTTCTAGAAACTCTCCAAAGAACTTCTACAGAAATCTTAATTAATTAATTAATCTAATTTTATTAATTAGTTAACCTCATTTCATTAGTTAATCAACCTCATTTAATTGATGAATTAATCTCATTTAATTAATGAATTAAGCTCATTTACTTAATGAATTAATCTCATTTACTTAAGGAGATTAATCTAATGAGATGATATCATAGATTTAATGAATATAATTTCATTTGCATGATGTCTTTAATAGCATAGATAAGGTTTACAAATAAACGTTTGTTTTTCTATGTGCATACATTAAATTATGCTTAACTTAATGGTTAAATGATGTATTTTCATTAATGTGTAATATGCAAATTCATAGAAAATATATCTTTGGATGTGCATAATGTTTGACTTAATGTCTGAGTGTTTGATAAAATCATATGTACTGTGTTTAATTTTTGATTTTGCATGAAAAATCAAAACAACATTAAGCCTTCATTTCTCAAATGTGTGAAAATTATTTTTCTTTTGAGAATATTATGTATTAGTGTCATGGTTAGCATATACATCTAGCCTTTTGTCAGAAATGCATATCATACATTGTATGCCTCACATATGCTGCTCGTGGTGATCACATAGTTTGTGATTATCACATGAGTTAGCGTCGGAGATCATTATCTGAGCGAGGTGTAATCTCCCTCGTTGTGTCCTGCAACCGGTAATGATTTACCATTTTGGTTGCTACCCAGGCGAGGTGCGATTCCCCCTTGGGTGTCCTATACCTGGGGCAACTAAATTTGCATGTAAAGTATCGTGATAATGTATGTGCATCAATTCATATGATTCTCATATTATATGTCTTTGTATTGCCATGATACACATACATCAAGAGCATATTTATGCCTTGATGAATGATGTTTGCATAGTGTATGTATGAAATTAAGTATTCTTTGGCTCTAGTTTAGCTCCTACATCACTTAGTAGAGATGTATTGCTTTGAATATAACTTTGACATGTTGTGATATCCATGCTATGCACAAATGTTTACTTGATGTGATCGTGCCTCACATGGATATTTGCTTATCTCTAGCAATGTTGTTACTTTGTATGACCAAACTGGGTAAGAAACGTGCCTCACATGGATATTTGCTTATCTCTAGCAATGTTGTTACTTTTTATGACCAAACTCGGTAAGAAAAGTATATGTTTAAACACGACTTTTGATATGAATGTTTACAAGTCATGCCTCTTTAAACTCAACCTGAATAGGATTGTAGGAAGTAGAAGTTTCTTCCTTTAACTTTAAGGCTATCTAGGTTTCCTTGGACAATACAATTTATGAATTGTTGACAAGGGATCTCTGGTCGGGTTATATCGACTACCTCCATGACCAGGTAGACTTAGAGTCATAATATCTTGAGATAACGGATCCATGGTATCCTGACTCAACCATCTTTACCTGCTTGGGATATCTTCCTCCCCATTATTTTGATATACTCCCGTCAAGCCTTTTTAATCCTTTTAAATCATCATTGAGGTTATCTCGCAAGCCCAGTTTGCCGATAGCCCGTCGCCTGTTTGGGATACGATGATTTACTTTCTACCCTTATGACCCGTTATGACTTTGGTGCATTAGGATGACTGACTTTAGATAATCATCTACCTTTTGGTTTACCCATTCACCAGTTCTCGTAAAAGTGCAAGCAAAATTCATGTTTAATCGAATGTATTCTTGGTTATCCTCAAAGATGTAATTAACCAAAGGAACATGTTCTTTTGGGAGTTACTCTTGAAACCACAGAGGAAAAAAAAAATCTGTTTCTCTGTATGTGAGTTTCTTATATTAAGTTTTTCTTCATATATATCGTTTCAAAATTTTTTGATCGGATTTATTTTCTACATTTTGAGCCTATCGTACAAAGATCACCCTAATATAAATTCTCCATGTTCTTTTAATTTGTTTGTTAGCTCTTGTCGTATTGTCTTATTTTCCTGATGTCTTCACTTCTTTTAAGTCTTCACTTCTTTTAATCATTTCGATGATTTATGAAGGAGTTTGCTGGAGAAGAGATTTTTATACGATAATATGTAGATAAGCTGGCGACTCCAAATTTAAAAGAACAAAAAACAATAGCAACTTACAAAAAAGATATTAAAATATTAAAAGTGCAGTGCTAACTGCTAAGGTCATTTCCTTCACTGAATTTTAGCATGGTATGAAATCTCAAATATCACATAAGTACGTATTTCCATTAGGTGATCAGACTTCAAACTTCTGTGGGGGAGGTGAGGTGCTAATCTCCGAATAGTAATCTTAACAAGCTCATCAATACTTATGTGCCATTCACTCGTTCTAGCAACAAGATGTATTGCGAAGAACAGACAAGAAAATTACTATAAATAATGAATTATATTAAGATGGGGGCTGTTGGTACTGACCAAAGTAAAACTTCAAATGAATTTTTAATCCTGGTGAATTAAGAGACGCCATATGACAAAAGATGATTGTTTTTAGGTTTCCTATTTTATTTCAAGTCATACCCCCTGGGAATACTTGTGTATCTGATTATTTTCTTCAATAATTATGTATAAAAGAATTTCAAACTGGGGAAAATAACCTAAAACTTAACACAGAGAGAAAAAAAGATGCACTGTCTTTTTTTGTTTGAGATTTCCAATTTAGAAAACTCACTTTCAATATCCAACTCAACCATTTTGTAATTTGCTCCTGACTTCAGTAGAAACCCTGCCACCTCCTTGCATGCTTCACAATAAGTCTTGCTACAGCAATAAGAAAAGTACAAGCCATTGATAATCAAGGAGAGCACCAAATTATAACGAAAAAAGAAGTAGAAAATAAAGCAGATATCCAAATCGCATATATTCACAGAAAAAATAAAAATCAATTAGAGTTAGGGCCATCTTTTATATGGCTCAAAAAATTAGTTCCTAACTAATTTCAACCAGTCCATCAAAGGTTTCATAATTAGTGGTCAAATTATCATTAACACACTAGTCCAAACAGAATAACAGCCCTGATTCCTGCATTACAAGATCAAGTATAGATTCATCTATTGATCGTGATGAACTATATCTAGTTAATACTATCCAGGTTCTGCCATAAATCCAATCATCCAAATCAAATCTTAATTTGCATCAACCTCATATTTAATGACACGGATATGATCATCCAATTCAAATCTCTATCAGCATAATTTTAAGGTCAAGGACCTCCATCAAACCCTCTATCATTAAGGTCCAACACAAATGTAAAGCCGGCATCATGGCTTGGTTCTACACTGCTTGAATAGCCAAATGGCCAATATGCTCTCAATAAAGAGTACACTTTGGTCTAGCAAAAAGCTTAAAGATCATATGGCTCAATTATCGACCATAAGCATCGCCAAAATACCAAAATACACTTCATCCAAACATCAATATATATGGCCCAAGGGGACACAAAAGGACTCACTTTTACAAATTCAAGGAGAACGTTATTGATACCTTCAAGCTAAGTTATTGACTTGAGCATCCTTTGGTCTATGAGAGGACAAAATTCTCAGATCTCTCATTTCGATTGATGTATGTATATAAAATGGTATCAGGATCAACATGAACCAATTACCCAAACTCACTCGGTATTAAAAATAATTTGGGCAACACAACAACCTTATACAAATAGAGAAATAATGCTCTTAGAAATTTACATTTCTAGCAATTGTATAATCAATTTAATTATTTTAATTTATTATCCAAATAACATATATTATTAAACCACCATTAACTTTCAAGGTTTCATTATAATTCGGACCAACCAACTCAAATTTTAATCGACATCAACCTCATTTTGGTCATCCAATTGAAACCTCCATCAGCACTAATCATAAGGCTAAGGACCTCTATCAATCTCTCTATCATTGCTATAGGCACGATGGTCCAACATAAATTTAAAAGTTGACATGGCTTGGTTCTCCTCCCTTTGATTGACCAGCTAGGAAAAATGCCCTCTAACGAGGGACATTTTGGTCTAACATAAATCTAAAAGGTAATATTACTCATTTATCCACCACGGGCATTGCTAAAGTACCAAAATACTTTTCATCCAAACATCTATAAATGCGCCCCAAGGGGACACGTAAGGATTCAGTTTTCCATATTCAAGGAGAATGTTATTAACACCTTTAAGCTTGCTCATTAACTTGAGAATCCTTTGGTCTTTGAGAGATCAAAATTCTTACATCACTCATTCAAATTGATGTATGTAGGATAGCATTAGGCTCAAGATGAATTATTTATCCAAACTCACTCAGCATGAACATAATTTATGGAACATAACAACTTAAAAGAAATAAAGAGGGAATGCTTTAGAAATGTATCATTCTATATATTGTATAATCAATTCAATTCAGAAAGTATCCAAGTATAGTATATTATAAAATTGATGCAGCCCAACATAATACGTAGCTCTAAATGAATTATAATCATCCAATCATCAAATTTCATGCAACTATAACTTTTGTGCAAGAAAATTGAGCAAGACCATAGTCCATTTTGCACCTTATCATATTACATAAAAATTCATGTGAACCTTCCTATCAAGACGTGATAACATGTAATCATCATCATCGATGGGGACCCAACATAAATTTGATTGTTCAATTCAAACAATCATTGGCACCAATATCAATACTATCAATGTAAACCTAATCATCATCTTAGATTTCAAAGAAGACTAATATTAGGCCTAGAGCCTACATTAAATTGTTCATCATTATTAGAAACATAATGTCATATCGTGAATCGCAACATCAATGTCAACTAGATGTCCACCATCAAATTGATTGGATGACTAACATGCTCGTTTATGCTTCACCATGTTACCAAAATTCCTTTCAATCAAATACTTACAAGTTCATAGGATGAGTTGATTTCAGTCTTCACTCTTGCCTTCAAGCTTAATCATTGACTTACACATCAAAGTGCAGTACCATTCCTCAGGGGAAACTCACCTTTCTACATGTTTGCAATTAGCACTTTACGACTAAAGTAACATCACAACTTAGTTAAAATGTAGCAATAGTTTGAGTGCATAGACTTGCAACGCTCCCTATTCATACATTATTAAGGGCAAGCTGACACAACCTATGAAATATTGGCACACTCACCCTACCACGCACGAAACAAAGACAATCTACAAGACAAAGATAACACAATCAAGCCTTAGTTTCTCCACTTCTCATCAAGGAAAAAATTGAGATCATTGAGAGAATTTTAATCCAACCAATAAAATTTATGTTCAACTTATGAATGAGACAAATAAGGATCCTTGAGCACGATGAAATCCAGTAAAACATCGCATCTCAATCTTGTTAGATCTTGTCTTCCTAACTTGTGCAACAAAGGTTGTATTTGCATTATCATGTAAAATTTTTTCCACTTTCATAATCTCCTGAAAAATGATTATTTGAACATAGTTAACTCAACTCATCCACCTCATATCGGTCAAGTGATTCTCAATCTTCAAGTGCAGTGAAAACGCCTTAACCCAAACTTGAAAGTTTTCTCCATTATCTTATGCAAGAATTTCTATGACACCTCCATAAAGGGATTCCTATAGGGGGGCAGGGTCTAGCCCCCCCTTCATCGATGAAATATACAAAAAACATTCAAATTTGTGATCATTATTCTCTATCATCTCATACATGTGGGTTTCAAGCTACCATATGAAATATCTTGTAATCCTCATGAGCATGTTAAATGCTAAATAACTATCACGCACGTTCAACATACCTTTGGCTCACTCTTATGCTAGGTTTTCCATGCTAAACTTAAGAGTCAAGTAAGAACATGATTTTTCTTGCTTCCAAGCAGCACAATCAAAACTTTTAGCATACTAACAAGCTCTTCACTGATAAGTTCATTGCAAAACGAGGGATCATAAAGAACCCTTGAAATCTCTTTGGCATTCACTAAAATGGGGAGTCACTCAAAAAATACATTAGAAGAATCTCGTATGAAGATTGCCAAACATGGGCACACTACTCATCAAACAAAGCCAACTTGGTTCCTTCTTTCAACCAAAATGGCTATGCCATAACTGATCAACATGGGGGGGGCAAACTGTACCACAATGATAGCAATACAATCATTAAATGATGGGTAAGATTGACAATAGGAAGTCTTCTTCTTTTACAGAAAGTCATTCTTGCTACTCTTGAGAAACCTTAGTGGATTTTATCCAATTGGCCTTGGACATCCAAACACCCTAAGTTGATACCACCATCTTCATCTCTTACAAACTGATCAAGTTTGACTGGTTTATCGTCACCACTAGTCATTGTTGCCATCATTCCTATACATTTTATCCTATCTTGGAAGTTAGATTTCTCCAGCCCAATTGACTCTTATGTTCTCCCAGACTTCCTTAGGCATAACACCCTCGTTAGCATTCCCTTCGTCATTCTTGGTTTAAGGATGCTCATTGACTTGCTTGTAGTTGGTATACTCTATAACTTCTCCGTCACAGTCTTTTTTGTCCATTTTATCTTCATACACACTTGCTCTTCCATAGACACCCTATCCAACTATCTAGTTGGGCTCGCCCCCTTTATCTTTTTGGTTGGCCTCCTTACCCAATATTTCGATGAACAACAGATCCACTGCAACACATCAAACTCGATGAGCTCCCTAATGAATTAGTTAGTGTATTCCACTATTGATTCTACCCACACTTTCATACCAACTAATGCTGCCACATTCTTTGATATCCTAACATGCTATGCTTTTCTAGTTGTGGGCTTTTATCCATTGCCATTTTTGTAGCAATTAGTAGAGGCAAAACTATTCCAATGAACCCAACGATATCAATTTTTCTCCCTTGCCTGAAAATAAGACGAGCTCACTCTTCTTTTGCATTCATAAAATTTTTTTCCTCAAGAAGATCACTTGACTATTATAAAGCTATGTGCTCTTATGTTATAGACAATAAGCTCTAGAGGAAGATGAGCACGTTTCTCCATTTCAAATCTCATCAATTGATCACAATTCAAAATCAAAGGGAAAGTGTTATGACTCATTTTCTAAAATCAAGCTTAGCCTGGAATGTTTCATGATATCTAGTCATGATAGCATCTTTTAAGGATATGTGGCCCTTTTAGTTTGATTAAAATATTGTCATTTAGTCAGCCAAGGAGGAAGTCTCACTATCGACCACACAAGTATCAACTAATCAAAAGTAATCAATCTTGGTCCCCAAATTCCTTCTAGTTGGTCCTTGCTACACAACTTCTACTTTGCAGGAAAAAAATAGTAAACCAATAAATTTAATGAGCTATCCCATCATCTAGAAAACCTCTATTTTATCATTCCTCACCTATAAATAAGTGTTATCTTAGATGTTTTACACAAGTTCCACCAAGGGCATTTGACAGGGAGGAATCCAACATTCAGAAGGGTCGAAGATCTCGAGACAATTCCTGGACTCAAGTCTTAATTCTATAGCTTTCCCATTCATACTTTTCATCATATTGTTATTCTCTAAGGTTCAATGGGCCGCTTACATAAATTGTAACAATCTCTCGATAGTAGAATTGTGCAATACCTTCCCTCTCTATTTATATTGCACATAAGTTTTTTTAGTTGAACCACTCGAATTTTATGTCCTCATTATGTATGCATTTCTTCCCTATCTTTTGTCTCTTCTTCTCCACCTATATGGAAATACCTTAACTCGACAAAGGACAATTTTTGGATATAGAATGTGAACTTTCCTCTTTATTCCCCATCACAAAACCAATAAATAATTGGTCGTTCACACCAAGGAATCATTCCTTCTAAAGACTCTCATTTCCTTGGTTATGTGTACGCAAGAAGCAATCCCAAAATAGAAAGAACATCCTCCAAGAGCGTTAATCAGCCCTAAACCACTTTCCGGCCCACAAAATAAGTAAACACTACAAGATTTAAAATTGTTCTATAAATTACAATTGATGTTGAAGGCCAGAATAAGCAAGACTATTGTTTTTCCCATAGTCTTATTATCACGGTAATCATAGCAAAGAATCAATCTGTAATGAAATTACAATAATTTTAGGGAAGAGAAGCATAAATTAATTAATCCTCTCCCCTTCACTCCCCAAGATCCTCTAACCAAAATTGAAGGGCATTATATAAACAGGACCAGACTTACTGAATGTTGAAGGAATTCAAGAATGATGAAAGTGATTGTTCAGATATGCCATTTGCATTGCTTATATACTGGAATATGGTAGGTATGTCCATCATCACCACAAAACTTTGATCGAAACTAAAGTAGCGCACGGATTCAATTTCAACTGATATTAGAGAGAGCTGGAAATATCATAAAGTTCCCAAAATAAAAATCTCGTTCCACATCACTTTATCAATCTAGATTCAGGGCTCAACTATTTCAGTCTGAAGTGTCTGAATCACCGAACTATGATCGCATCAAAAATTTATCTCAGAAACAAATTGGACAATGTAACCACCCATGGAAATCCAAATCATTCGGCATCTTAGGCCACACGCAGACCAAAAAAAAAAAAAAAAACCAAAAAACATCTGAAAAAAAGGGAGAAATTGTGGAAGAAAAGATAAATAAGTGGGAGGAAAAAGAAAAAAAAAACAAGAAAACAAAAGAGAGATTTGAAAAGGAAAGCAAGAAAAGGAAAGCAAGAGAGGAGAAGACCTGAAGAAGAAAACGGGGCTAGAAGAAACCAGCTCCTTGGCCTTCTCCATTGCTATCTACCTCCTTCAACTTTAGACGTCCGTTCCCACTTCCTCTTTCCTACTCTGCTGCCTGCAGCGATTTAAAGTAGCACAATGTTAGAAATTAAAGTTTCAATTGTGAGGAGCAAAATATATCATTTCTCCCACAATCATTTTCAAGGGGCTCAATAGTGTGATTTTATATAGATATTTAATACATTTTATCTTCTTTTTGGAGAATATAATGTTATAGTTTAAAATTTTAGTAGTGAGGAAGAAAAGATATATTTTTTTTATCTCAATTATTTATGAGGGCCTCAAATGATACAAATGCTAAAACAAATGCTATATGATAAATATTGAACATGAAATTTTATTTAATTTGGAATGTTATATGATAAATGTTGAACCACCCTGAACGTTATTTAATTTTCATAATCATTTTTTCTTGTTCATAACAACTTAGTAACAACCACAAGCACAATAATATTCCAAATGCAAAACATAACAACCTCAATGGAAAATTCATAATAATATGAATATTAGAATCTTCTCATTTGCTTTATAAGTAGATGTTACTATATTCTCAATAAGAGGATGAAATATACATATATCTTAGTCATGTGCCTGTACTTTTTTTTTTATCATATTCTCAAGTGGTGCCCCCTCTTCATGGTATCAGGCCATGCCTAAGATAATTTGAACTCTATCTCAAGAACTTAGCCATTATGTTCAGTTAGTACATCTCTTCAGATCTTTTTGATTCCTAGCAAATTCTCAAACCTTGGAAACCTATGGATCGTCCTCCCTAGAACCAACAAATATTACAAACATCCCACCATTTTTTTTTGGTTTTAATGAACGATATCAATAACATCACTCAAACTTAATTATCAACAGAAAATTACTCCATATGGAGAACTTGAGTCCTAAAAATCTCTATCGTTAATGGATTTTTAGGGTTCTTAAAGATAGAACACCTTGTCCTCCAAAGTTCAACTCTATTTCAGGTGAGTCTTCAATAACCAAAACTCAAAATACGATATGGGTGTGAATTGATAAAAAAATTATTGAGACCCTATACCCCATTGTATCCACAACCATCCTGCCCTATGTATTGTATTTATCCACCACCTCTAAAATTTAGAGAACCCTTAAAAAATGGCTGCAACCCACCAACCGATCTAGATTCATTCAGCTAAAAATGAACTTCACCACATATCCATGAACAATCAGATGATGAATCAATGCTTTTCCACATTAAAAGCAATGGTAGATAATATTTTAAAAGTTAGTGGTTAACTAGGCCAAGAAGAAGTCATACTATATACAATCAATGTCTTATCAGTAAGATATCAAACACTCAAAACATCAATCAGAACTAAGCTCCAATCGATGGATCTCAATGATTTCTACTCCCTCTTATGTAGTGAAGAAATTAATATTAGAAATGATAACCACAAAATGGGACAAAATTCTAACTCACAACTGGCCGATGAAACCAACCCTCAGCTGCCTCACAAATCAAAGGTGATCAAATTCAATCCAAACTTCTAGTTACACACCAAATCTATTAAAAATTTGGTCACTCAGCCTTCATCTGTTGGCATCATTCAAACATGGAGTATACCCCTAAACAAGCAAGCACTATAAATCATTACACCTATCTAGGTACTAAATTTAGGAGCTACAACTCTTCCAACTTTTAATTTCAATAAACTTTAGATTGCAGATCCAAATGAGTGTGATTTTTAATGGTCATATAGTTCTAATTGCCACACTGGAGATGGTTTTTTGCCCTCACCAAACCATAAACTCATTCTCCCTAACATATGACATATACCTTTCATATCTCACAATCTACTCTCTATGCATAAGCTGATTGCTGATAATAAAATTATATTTACTTTTTATTTGATTAGTTTCTTCATGTTCGATCCACAAAATCTAATGGCCATTATTGGATAAACTATCCACCAGCTTCCAACCATGCTCTTATAACCACCATCTAGCTATCTACTAACTGCCATAAGCAGTTGAGACATTCTAGTTGAGGAAAATTTTATCTCGCATCTAAATCACAATCACCTCAGTCGTGATAACCAACTTCTCTCCATGTAACAATTTCAATTGCAACAAAAGTGACACCCAACCATTTAATTCTACCCCCTTACATGTTTAATCACTATTAAATTTAAACACTTCAATTTATGGGGTCATGCCTTTATATTATCTAATAAAGATTATAAATATTGTATTGTGTTTATTGATGACTTGTTTAGGTTCCTCTGGTTTTTTTTAATGAGCCTATATGAAAAAAAGCACATAGTGCACATCATTTATTAAAAGGATAAAAACTTAGCTCAATATATCTATATAAATATTTTGATTTAATGGGGATGAATACAATAATTCTTCTTTAAAACCTTTCTCTTAGAAAATGATATAATTTATCAATTTTAATGCCACTATAAACCCAAAAAAAATGGGGTGGTAGAGTGTAAGCACTGTCACCTTTTCAAAACAACACACATCTTACTCTATAATGCCTCATTACCATCTAATTTCTAGATGAATGCCCTCTTAACTTAGCATACAACAACATGCCTTCCAAGAATACACAATCCATCACCCTCTATAAGGTTTTAAGAAAATACCCACCAACTTATTCACACCTCAAAGTGTTTTTCTGTTACTGCTAACCTTATCTTAAACCTCAGATACCATACAAACTAACACCCCGATCCACCCTTTGTATCTTTCTTGGTTATTCTATAGCTCATAAAGGCTTTAAATTTTATGATCCCGAAATAAGAAAGATGTTTATCTCTTATCATGTCATGTTCAATGAATAAGTTTTTCTTCTTCTCACATTTCCCCTCCACCATCTCCCTTTGAACCAACATCCAACCCTTTACTCCTTATACTAACATTAGTACAACAACCCACAATAACAATCCATCCTTCATTACTCAAATTTATGAAAAAACTCCACTCAATAAAGCTACCAAACCTGATCAACCCACCACTTCCAACACCTGAACAAACATCCCCTACTACTCATTTTTCTCTAGATACCACTCCACTTTCTATGATAGTATCTCATATGGTGGGATTTTCTTTATTGGTATCCATCATAGGTTTCAAAGGATTTCTATCAAAATGATAGGAAATAACATTCAAAGAATAATATACTATTCTAAAAGATAGAAATATTACCTTAGAATGGATTTAATCATTCAGATAGGAAAATATTTGTTATTTATAGAAATGTTGAACCAATATTCTTCCTTACCTTGCAGATGTAAGATAAGGTTCATTTAAATCTGAGGGTCTGGTATCCCTATAAAAGGGACCCCTCATAGTTAATCTTGGGAACACGCTCGATTAAAGTTGTCTTATATATCTTTTATTCATTAATGAATGTTTATGGGATGATGAAGTTTTGTGGACTTCGATAAAAGGGATAAGTTTGAACAAAATTTGACTTCACTTAAGCTATAAAGAAGAGTTTAACCCTAGGATTAAGGCTATCATTTGACAATCAGAGTGATGATACAAAGTTTGAATCAAAGGATCAGATTTGAGAAATAAATTTGAATATGGATTGAATTTGATTAAATTTGAATTTGGATTGGATCTAATCTTGATAGGTTTGGTATAAGTTTGATAATATTGAGTTAAATTTGATAAGATTGAGTTTAGAAACATCCTAGTCTAAGGGTAGGAAAGGGTAATAGATTTCTAGATAGAGGTGAAGCCCTAGCCTAAACATCTCTAAATAGGAGGATATAGATGAATAACCTAAATTTGGGAGTAACACACCTAGTGAAGATGCTCATGAATTTCCATTATCTTGGTTACATTAATAACCTTAGACAATTAACCAATAGAATAACAGGGGTTCTCCCTTATCTCTATAGCACTGGCTTAAGGTAGACATTCCCGATATAAAGTGAGATTAAGTATTGCATACATAGCACATACTACTTCACTCTAGGGTACTCTTATAAACCATGGGGACAAGTCAATTTGTTTATAGTTACTAGTCCTGAAGTATATCTATAAACTAATATAGAGCTTCTAAACTACAGTAAACTAGGGTGTCTTTGGAACTAAGTTTTTGTTTATGTTAGCTATCATAAGGTCACAGTTTGGAGCTATCCTAGGGTGTAATTATAAAAATTAGAGTTTGCCATTTTTAGATTGTTAAGGGTGGTGGTTTGTTTTCTTCTAAGATTGTTAGTTGAGGTGACAAGCCAAGATTTTCTAAGTGTTTTTTGGTTATTTCTCCATTCTAACTTTAGTTCTAATCAAATTGTCAATCATAATGTTTTTATTCTTGTCCCTAAGTTTTGTTTTATCCCCTAAGATTTTGATTGTGGCCGAGATAATATATTCCGAACAAATAAGATTAAATCTCTTAAGTTAAAGCTTTCATATTTAAGACTTATTTGAATTCTCGTTAAAATTATAAAAATATATTTTTCATACAAAAGAAAGGTTTTCTGAAATTAGGTTTATCATTCAAAAATATATTAAATACAAACTCATCTTTTATATGAATCATTTAAATTAAGATTACTCTAGAGTTATATACTTAAAAAGTCTAAGGCTATGAAATAATTGTTTCTGGAGAGAAATATACTCATTCATGTAGTCATTTATTCTAGTGACTATGTAAGTTTTATCTAGGCTAAGCAAATGACAGAGAGCATGCATGAAAAGCTTATATATATATCAAGGGTTTTAAAATATCCTTTTGAAAAAGGAAATTGGTTGATCTTAAGTTTTCAATCCTATGAAGAGAAAATCTCCTAAAAAGTTTGAAAGGAAATTCTTAAGAAAACTTCTTGTAAGGAAAATCTCAAAGTTTTTAAAAAATATAATTTAAATTTTTGAAAATGAAATTTACATTAAATTAGTTTTTTCTTAAATTACTTAAAGAGAAAGTACTATGAAAAATATCTCTTATGTTTTGAAAATAACATTTCTCTTTAAATTTTGAAAAGTAATTGTTTGTCATGAAAAAAGAACTTAAAAAGATTTTAAAAGTGAAGGTCAACTTTTAAAGTTTTTTCTTAAAATATTTTAAAAGAAATTTTTTGTAGAGACATACAGTATCTTCTTGAGCTTTTTCTAAATTTCAAAATTTTAAA